ATTGCCACGTTTATTTTTTTTTTTTCTTGAACTCCGATTCTGCACGATTTTGCCCCCCTGCTTCAGGGCTAAAGTAAGAGGGTACAAAAAAAAGTGCACAGGGCACATTCAAGTACTCAATGAGTACAATCCAAACCAACAAAAAAAAGTTAGATTTTTCAAACTTCGATGCCAACTTCACATAGCTGGATACATGAATTACGTTTTTTCGTTTGGACTGCGAAATTGATGAAAAAAATTGGGTGGCCTGTACTTGTAGCAGCTCTTCCACACCTCGAAGAGGCAAATTGCTGAGTGAAATCTGAAAAATATCGCTAGAGGCATTGACACGTGGGTGATGATTGTCCATGCCCAAACCCCGAAGAACTCCAGGTGCTCAGGCCTGACTGCCGCCCGAGACTTCTCGAATGAGTTTACGATCCACAGAGCGATGTTCATGACAATCAGAAAAGTAATAAGCTCCTTGCCGGGTTTAGCATTCGATGAGGACTGTCTGCGCCAGGCAATCTGGAAGGGACAGGGGATGGGAGTCAATAAAATTTAATCCACAACTTTAATAATGGATGAGAGTATTAGTGTCAGGGTATGTCCACTGGAGGGATATCGGTTTGTTGGGTCATCTAGATTTATTCAAATTTTATTGGTGATGTTTTTATTTCACTCGACGATTTTTTCATTCCACTGCAATTTCATCTCGTTGTCATCAAAATTTTCTTCGAATTTTATCGTACAATCGTAACGTAGACGTACCTTGATCAGTAGAGTTTGACTTGTGCTCTGCACAAGTGCGATAAAATCAGCGGCAAGTGAAAGTCCCCAGGTTGGGCCCATTGTTAATACACCACCAACAGCACCGAACATGCAGTGGAGATAAACCCCAGCTTGAGCTGCTGCTAGTAGAGTTGAATCAAGATGCGGTAGTTTTGTTTTCTTCCATTCCAATCTGCGTAATTTCAGGGCACCACTCACAGCAGCTATTGCTCCTTGTGGGTTTTTAAAGAATTATAAAATAGATGTCCAAATTCAGGCGCCAAATTCATCACAAAAAATTATCCCCTCATTACTTCATACCATTTGTTTTTCGTTTTGAATTATTCAATATTTTCTGGATTTTCTTCATATTTATTTTTTGGTTTGCAAAAAATTGTTTTTGGTAATCTACTGCGGATTTTGGGATTGCCTTTGCAGGATTCATCGATTTCGTGATTCATCGGTTGATGATCCCGCCGAAATGGGATAGATTGTCGTATTTCGGCGCGTGGATTCAAAACATTGTAAATTTCTCGGGAAACGTCGCTCGTAATATTGACTTTTGAATTACATCGCTTGTTGAATTGGTGGGATATGAATCCACGTTCGTAAATATTGATGTTTTGAAGTTCAACTGTAACTATATTTTTATTCTGCTACTTGACCGTCCACGCGTGCTCCGCATGCGCATTCATTCGACATGTTTGAGATTTAGCCACGATGTCCTGGTGACGGGTTCGTTTCCTCTTACGGGTCTCATCCTTGAGATTTATTACCGTTTGATATCTTTTGAATTTTCAAAATTACCGCCCACCCTCCCTCCCCCTCCCAGACAAAATTTATGCAATACCCGGAGGGAAAAATACTCGAAAAATTACGAAATTTTCACGTATTCGTGCACAGAATGAAAAATACCGGAAAAATTACGGAACTTTCACGTAATCTTGGGGTGACCTTGATTGTCGGGGAAAAATCCTGTAAATTCTGTAAAAATTTTCGTAGCGAGCAGGAATTTTTAGAAAACTTTCAGGACAATTTTACGGTACCTCCAATCTTGATAATTAACATTCTGGGATGAATTTTCGAGGATAAATTAACGCAGATCATTCTGACGATAAAAATTTAGACTTGGACAATACCGGCTATTAAAATGGTCGTCTCCAGTGCTGTTACTTGTTGAATAGCCATCTTGGGTTTCGCATCCTTCAGAACGAAGAACATTATTAGACTGAGGACAGTCGCTGCTATGATGAGAATACCACCGAAGAGGCCTCTGTAATTTAACCAGCGTTGTCGGTCTCGAATTGAAACTGCCATTAGGGATCGGGTTTTCGTGGTGGGTTTACCTGTGAGCGTTGCTGCAGTCGATACTCAGATGGTGGACTGACCTGGTTGGGCTGTTTGATTTTGTCACTGACAATCTGTCGACTCGCTTCCACATCTCGAAGAGAATTACAGCGCAGATCAGACTGAATTCTATTGTGCAGGGGAAGAGGAAGGGCGAGGCATCGCGGAGGAGATTCCTCAGGAGTCCATCGTTTGTGTTTGGTTTTGACTCCAGATGGGATATCTCATGACGAGTCTCTTCCACCAGGGCCTGGACAGTTTTTCCTCATTTACATCAATAAAAGAGTTACACTCTAGCAATTGATCGTATTCCTTTGACTTAATTCATTTGAATCTATTCTATTTTTTCGTTGAATGAATCGAGAATCATTTGTAGTAATTGAGCATTTGGTAATATAGTTAGGGAATTGCAGTTAAGATTTCGGTAACTATTACCGAATTACCTAATCATCCAGTTGAGTCAACCTTGATAATCCACATGAACTATTCCGTAACTATCGCATCTCGATTCAGTTGGTATTATTTAACTGCATTAACCCAATCAGGAGAATCGATAATGACCAGGCTGACCAGACGGCGATTTTTGCCAAAAATCTGTATTGATTTTTCCAGAGTAGGGTAGATCATAATAATCTCTGAATGAAATATCAACTATATGGTTCGAAAAGTGTCAATTCTTCACGTGATTGATTTCACTCGATTAACTGTGACTAAAAAATAAAAAAAAAAACATTTTGAACAAAATCGCCGTCTGGTAACTCTGGTAATGACAGCGAATGATTACCTGTAGCCACTCGCAGATATTCGTCGCGATCATGTGCATCAGTCCCAATTTAGCTAGAGGCCCGTGTTTAGTCAACTCTAGGTCCTTGCTGTTTAGGAATATGAAGTGCATTTGAGCGGTAACAAGGAGGAGTCTTGCGCTCGGTGTAATCGCCCTAAATGGCACAGCAGACGCTATTTCCGCTCCGATTTGCAATCCAGTAAATACTAACGAGCCAGCACCAAAGCCGATGGCACCCAAACGCAAGCAGAAGCTTCCGTATTGCTGTCGGTGCTGGTAATTTTTTGAATTTTATCCACTTACTTTTTACTTTTTAGTGTATATTTTCACACAACTTCTCGTCTTTCGCCTCTCATTACGTTTGGGGGAACAATTATGGGTGGGTGGGGAAAATGGCCGACCGGGTACGATCGCTTGCTCAAGTTTTATTCCACTATGGATTGCCACGGGAAACATGAGAACAACTTTTTATGCCCGACATTGTGCTCTCAGCATCGGGATGGGGTACACCCTCAAGTCCAATTATTACCGAGATATTTTTCCAGTCAGTGATAAATCCATTACGCCGTTAGAGATCTCTTGAAATTGCAGCTGAATCTCTAATTGTGCAAGTTTCAAATCTATTTTTGTATCATCTAAATTTTCTTTAAACCCTTATCTCGAAAATTCAAAAATATTCACTTCTTCTTGATAAATGTTTATTAATTTTTTAATGAAACCTTAGATTTTCGCGCATTGATTTCTTTTCATTTTAAAATTGAGAAAAATGAGATTTAGTTGAGATTTATTTGAATATTCAAGGAAATGACTGATTTATTGAAGGAATTCTCCAGAAATTCCACGTGACTCTGACGTTTTTTTCAATTTAAAAGTTTTTGTAGCTGGAATTTTAAATTAATTGATTTTCTGATAATGTAATCATTGACAAAGTTTCTTCCCACTTGATTCAAGTCGATAAAATTCCGTTAAATCTCAATTGAATCCCAGACCTGCATGAAAAAAATTATAAAAAATTTCCATAACACAGGTCAACTAAACATATACCTGCAACACCTATAATTTTAAACAAAATCTATATGCAGCAAACACACGTTCAGATTTATATAACCATTACATAAATACTCCTTCAATTCCCCATAAAACACCTAATAATCAAAACATCCATTTTTCCGTTAAAAAAAACTTCTCAAAATCCTCGAGTCCCCACGTTCTTCGAAATTCTCCAACGAATTAAATTCCCCTCCCCCAAATAATCAATTAATCTTGCTCCACTGAAATATCCGAGAATTGTTAATTCTCCGGATTTTTGTGACTTAGAATCACGTGATTGATTACCTGAGAAGATCGACGCTTGGTTCCATATTCATCATGCAAAAAAACCCCATCTCGTTTATCATTTTCCACCAGTAGTTTATTCACAGCTTTATCACGAAGTAAAATCGTATACATAGTGATGACAAATCCACCGCTGACTAAGTACAGGTAGAGATAAAATCCCTGGATAAAAAAGTAGAAAAGTGGGTAATGAGCATTAAAACGCGTCGTGATTTTTGATGATTACAAAGTAAATAAGACAAATATTGAAGTGGGTGGTGGGGATATGTGGTGGGAGGGGTGGGGCGGTAGTGAGAGAGGGAGATGGGGGGTAATGAGTATATACGAGTCACAGAGAGGCCATGAGCGTTAATGATCCGTGCCAGTACCAACGCTCTTGCGTTAATGCCCGCATCAACATAAAGTATCATAATGCCAGTGCGGTTTGGTCCAGGGGATGTACCAAACTCTTCATTGATGCGATAATAATTTATTGTTAACGAAATACCAATCAATGGAATGTACCTGATCCAGGGCAACTGGCACTGGTTGACCGATGCTAGCTGTCACGGGAACTGTCACGCCAATTACGACCAATAGTTTAGCATAAAGTGTGCTAACTGTTGATATCAATTCTGCACGATTTTTTTGGTGAGAGCGACTCGATGGTGGGGGGTGATGATTATTTCCCGGGGTTGCTGGAAGCAGTGGATTTTCATTGAACGTTTTGGTGGAGAATTGAGGGTAGAAAATTGTAAGCGAAATATTTTTTCCGAATTTTCAAAAAATTTCTAGAAAACTTTTCAGATTTTTTTTTTAACAAAAAAACATCGGAAACCACAATCATATTTTTGGGAAATGTTTTTAAAAAATTTTCTAAAGTGAGTTTCGGAAATTTTTTAAAATAATTTTCTAGAAATTTTTGCGAATATAATTTTTTTTTAATAATACGGTTGTTTTCTTGCTTTTTTAATTTTTCAATATTCTCAAAAAATACGCCATGTAAATTATAAAGAGAATTTTCCTATTTAAATTTTTGAAAGATTTTTCAAAACCTTTCCCAGAAATAAAATTGTTTTGTTCTCCGATTTTTTTTCTGGTTCATAAAAAAAAAATTCTGAAAAGTCTTCCAGAAATTTTTTGAAAATTTGGAAAAAACATTTCCGTTACATTTTTTTTTTACTCCGGATGGCGCTGGAAAAATAAAGCGGTAGTTTACGCACTTGCAATACAATATCCCATTTAATGTCGTCTCTGCGATCTGCTATTATCGAAATAATTACCATCAGCCGAGCAATTATTTCCTGATTATCCGTTTTTTGTTAGTCGTCAATTTTTTGGGTAATGACGTTTGACTTTTCGATTACAAATTTGCACAAGTTAATCGCATGAATATCCGCTCTGGTATTTTCCAATTAGGAAATTCATTTCAATTTTCTGTCGAAAGTTTGATACTCGTGCATGAATCCATAATGCAATTGCCGAGGTTGAGGGTTTCGTTCCCCGTGGAGGGGTGGCATTTTCCCACCGCGGGTGAAAGGGGGAATTTTGGGGGAATATTAAAAATTGATACCTTTTGGTGGATCCAAAGATGTCAGAGGACATGATGATGTATTGACGGGCGTTAGTTGGAGAAAATTTGAATGATGTTTGCAACCTCTGTGTCCTGGGCTGTCTCCATTGGAGTTTCGCCCCTGGACGTGTTGGCCAACCGCGACAATGGAGGAATTGCTACCTCGTGACACTTCCTGATCCTGATTCACGCAGGATGGGAGGGACAGGTTGCTACCAACACCCGCGATCAATGCCCTGCAAGTTGCATTTTCGAAAATTCGTACATTCAATTCTCGTAAAATACTCACTTCATTCGATTTCTCAATGGAAAATCCACAAAAAGCGGACATAATTCCAATTCTATATATTTTCTCTATTTCTTCACTGAAAATATTATTCAAATCGAAATTATCATCATTATTATATTAAAATATAAATGACGTCAATAAAAAAAATTATTTCGGTGTCCATTTTTTATGGACAAAATATGAAAAATCGATACAAAACAATTATTTATTTTTTATATACATTGAATCGGTGCCCTGCGAAAAAAAAAATTTTTTAACCAAGAATGTTTACTAACCACAAAAAAATGTAATTGGTATTAGTAAGTCTTATGGGAGTATTTACACAGTGATCGTCAGATTTACTGATGGGAAAAAAATATTTTTGGTAAAAATAATTTTTTTTTATTGTGAAAATTTTCTTTTTTTGAATTTTCGAAAATGTCAATTTTTCCGTATGAAAATCTTAGGGAGTTGTAAATTTCTTTGAAATTTCAAGGAATTGGAAGGATTTCTCGAGGAAAGGGGAAGGGAGAAGAAAATTCGACTTCCAGGAATTTAAAATTAATTATGTGAAATTATTTCTCAAAAAATTTGTGACAGGGTATAAAAAAGTTTCGCTGGTAGTTTTCATAGGGAACTTCCCAACGGAATAGACTAGTCGCCTAATTCTCGGTGGTATTATGCCGAGAGCCATCGAGGCTCGGTGCCAGGGTCTATTGATAGACAATGGATATTGTTTGGATCCTTCGATCCGTCGTCACAAGCCCGATCAAACTCGATTTGCCTCAGTCGAGCGGTGGAACAACGAATTAATATGGTGGCGCTTTCGTCAGACAGTAGTGCGGGAAAATCCTGGGGGTTGTGGTTTGGATGGATGAGGAGAATTGTTGGTGAGAGTTGAGAGTGAAGTTGATGGAATTATTCGAGTTTAGATTTTCTACACCTAGCTGAAATCATTTTTCGATTTGTCTGAGGATCAGGCAATACTCACTTGCTGAAAACTTGAGCGATTGTTTCCCTAAAATCCCGTCTTTTCCGCACTCGTTCCCAGGATTACCGAACGCGGAAAAAATATATTTAAATTAAATAAGAAAATCTACTCTTCAAATCTACTTCAATAAAAACAACCAACAACCAATAAAAAAAAACACCACAATTATTGGCCGCAAATTTATGGGTTTACTATATTTTTCATCACTACGTGCAGAAAAGTAACTTTTCCGCACAGTTCGAGGAAAAATATTGTTCGCAACGCGTGCAGAAAGTTGTTTTTGGCGTGTGGGAGTAATTCCACATGCAATGGAGTTCTAGAAAAACTCAAATGTTGAATATGAAATTCTCATGAATTTTCAGGCAATTTTTCAATGAATTATTTTCTGCACGCGTGGGATCTAGGTGCTAATTAATAACGTATATTTCAATTACCCTATTAGAGCTCGTCTGTGGTTTATAATAGCGTTTAAGGCGATACTCTGTCGCCTCAGACTTGGTGTCCTGGTACAGTGGTGAGATGGATGGAAGTTGTCTCTTCCCTCTAGGTCGATGCAGGTGAAATTGGTCGTCGGTGCGTGAGACTCACCAACCGGCGATGAAGACCCTATCATCGGCTCAGCACTCTCGAAACTATCAGTCATAATTCACCGGAATATTCATTTAGGATTACGCGTTTAAATTACTCACTTAAAGTCATCCCACAACCAATCCACCCTCAAATGCATTACTATTATCACAAAACAGATTGCGCGTTGCGCAAATTTGAATGTCCCGCCTCGATCGTGAAGATCGTGTTAACCAATCAGGATTCGGCCTTGATATTTCGACTCGGGCGAACTTCACGCTGGTTATATCCTCACAAACATGAGGATACACCCGGAAAAAGTGAGAGAGAAAAATCGAAAAATCGACTTGAGGAGTCATTCCTCATATCCTCTTATTTTTCAAGTTCTTTAAAAATATACCGTTTCTAAATTTTATTATTACTCAATGTCTCAGCTAGTTTTATCGTTGTGGAAGAATTTTTCTGCTTTCTCAGTAAATTTCCAAAAATTCAGACATCTTACGGAAAATTTTATAAAAATAAATGCAGGACTATAAAAATTTGTGAGTCATTAAAAAATGATAAAACCAAAAAGCGGAATATTTTTAACTTTATCCATGATTTCCAGAAATTTACCAAAAACATGAAAAATGAAAACAAAAAATCGGTAATAACTCCTGAAATCTCGGAATAAAAACCATTTCGGACGGTTTCAACCGATTTTTCAACTTGACTCGTCAAAAATATTTTTAATTGTCTGAAAAAGTTACACCACTCACCACCCATAACACTGATGAAACAAGATTCTAAAAAACTCACGTTCCAGTTACGTCGCTCGCCATTTGTCTCCGCTGTGCACTTTCTCCCGGTGAAAAAAAAAGCTCTTCCCCGGTTTTTTTTCCAAATGTATTTCTCTGCAAAAAAAAAACGGCTGGGTGAGGTAGGGGGTGGGAAGGGGGAGGGGGGGAGGGATGGGGAACTCTCTCAAGTTCGGGCACTTGTATATTGTTAAGCGGACGGGTGAGAATGAGGAGAGGAAAAAACAAAGAAGGCGGAGGATAAAAAGAGGAAAATAAACCGTTGAAAAAGTTTCTCACTAGCTTCTGTGAGACCGGTGTGTGCAACAATCGGTTCCGTTTATCTTCCGACAATACTCTACCTCAACTTTGGAGTTACTTCCACTCACACACACATGAAAATACACTCACGTACCTGTATTTACACGAATCGCACCTTTTTTCGCGGCCCTCCAGGGGGAAAAACTCGGCTGAATTTATTCAACGTAAAATTTACCGTGCCGAATTTTAATGGCTCGTTGCCGTCTTCTTCTGTGGGTTTTCTTTTTCTATTTGGAGGATACCAGGGAAATTGAAGCGAATGGGTTTTCGGGATGTGGAAATTTTTTACTGGAAAATTTGTGAAGGACTGAATGAAATTTTGGGAGTGCAGAGGTCGAATGGCTTAAAGTCACTCATTTTTCCTCTGGGTTTTCGCTGGATATATGAAAATGTAAACATCGGAGCGAAATTGTTGCTGGACCTTTTTTGTTGAGCGGAAAGAGAGCTCTAAATAATGTTCAACAAGAATTTCGATATCTCCTTTGGATTGAGAGATATTCCGCGTAGACGGAAGAATAATCAAATTTAGTTGCGGAGCGGTAACTCAATTTAAACCGCGTTTTCGATAAATATCTCCGGATCTGAGGGAGTTGGTGAAATTTTTGTTATAACCTTTTTTGCTGGTATAAATTGGTTCGACAAAAAAGATTTAGGGATAAATTTACGTATCGGTCGTGTATTCGAAGATATTTATGGAAAACTGATGATTGTTGAATATTCATACGAGATGTTGAATAGTTTTGACGTGGAATTTTTACCTTTTGCTGATGATTCAAGTAATGGAAACGGGAGTATTATTATCACTGATAATAGCACGGAGGGTTATTTTATTTGTATGGCAGGTTGAGATGGACTGGCAAACGGCAGTGAATTTAGCTTATTTACGGTACTCGCGGATGAGCGGAAATTAACAAGTCAATTCAGTGTACACTTCAGACGTTTGCTCAACATGTGTGAGAATATCTGTGGAGTACCGAAGCTGTTATACGGGTGTCTTGACTCCTCCCGAGGGTACGTCATCGCAAATATTTGAGATTTGGACGTTGTTAGCCTGTCGATGCTAAAATCTAGTAGAGCATTCCTCAAGATTACCTCAAACTCCCATAAAATCTTTGCCCTCCGATCTCTCAATATATTCTCTACACCTGAAAAAATAATCTCCCACAAATCATTCCCCCAAAAATATAAAATACCTCATGAATTAAAATTTAATTACCTAATCATCATAATTACAGTCCAATCCAATAAGAAATTATTATCCCCAACAGACAATCATTTTCTTGTCCCCTAAAAATCCCCAATTGACACAAATAATTCTCTCGACTTCATCATCGAACCCTGAAAAAAAATCATGACGGTACCCAATCGAAATGTACTTTCAATAATTTAACATTGTCCCGGGGCAATCGTATTCCGCAATTAACGGCATTAATGAACGGAAGCGGACAGGAGTTGAGGGAAAATACTTATAATCTCACCCTCCCCCCTTAACCCCCTCATTTCCACCCCTTCCAGCCCTCGAAATGGGGGCGTCTGGTTGGGGTAGACTACGAGCCGAAACTACCCAATGGCGCGTTATCGAAGTCGATCATTCGATTTCGCGCGGCAAATTGTCCGCGCCGGAAACTCATATCCGGGTACTTCCGGTTGCCCCTCAACTCCCCCTCCCCACCACCACCCTCCCCAACCCCCTGTTTCGCCCGACCTCTTGTCCTTTTCGCCATATTCCTGGCACCCCAGCACTGTCTCTCATCCCCATCAGCTCTTTCAGCCTCTTCCTCTGGCTGCAACAAGGTCGCTGGGAGTAGATGGGGATGAGGCTGGAATCTACTTCCGCTTTTGCGCCTGGCAACCCCAACCACCCCCTTCCACATCACCCCCTCACCACCCCCTTACCACCCCCTGAGCTGGAGTGTGCACTCTCCAGCCGCTAATGCTTTCACCTGGATCATCCTACTCATTCTAGCTCCTGCATAACGCTATTCTAAAGGCTTAACTTATGAGATTTAAATCCGTCTACCTACCATAAATATACTTTGCATCGAATTAATTACAATTGCTCTTTAATAAAGATTAGGGGATACTTTCGGGATGAAGGGATAAATTTCCAAATTTCTGCTTGCTATGGATTTTATCCGATTCGGTAGATGGATATGTGATGGTTTGGGAAATTGAGTAAAGTAAAGTAGAAAGTAAAGAAAAAAAGTAGAAATTGTGTAATTGAATCTGAGATAATTAGGGGATGAAGCGATGATGTGTACATGGAAAAAAATAAATACTTGAATCAAGTATATTTTATCCTAATATACGCGTAATCATAAAATCATAATCATAATTCATCAGAATTGAATATCATACAATCAAACATAAAATATACCAAAAATAATTAAAACAATAAACATATTCTAAGTATTTCAATTTTTCGTTGCGTGTACTTGATCGAAGGACATGTTTTCGTGGCATTGGGAATATCTGGAAATTCAAATTTTTGTCTTGGTCTGTTGAAAAAATGAAAAATATTGAATTTATGGAGTTGTGAGGAATACAACTGGCGAGTGTACACAGTGCAGTCGTTATTTGACGTTTCAATATCTCGCGCTCGATTATTCCCAGTGAACACGGGAAACATCCTCGATACTCGGGTATGAGCAATATTTACAGTAGAGTAGACGCAATCGTGGCACGTATACCAATTGCTTTCAATCTCGTACCCTCTGCCCAGAGAATTGGTGTGAGGGGGCGTTTGCAAACTGAATTGTCGCTCTATCGAGTTCGCCACGCGCTCTTGCCCTCTTTTATCAACGTACCCACGCATCAATGCTGCCAATGGGATTTAGGGTATGGGGGGAGGGGGGGGGGGACCTGATCTTCCTCGATGACTTATGAATTTGAACATTTGGGGTTGTCAATTTCAATTCATAACCCTCACTTCGTCGATGCAGATGAAACGATTTTTTAATTTCATTAAACTTTTTTTTTAATCCATCCACTTCTCAGTATATCTTCATTTAATTTGTCTTCTCTATCAATTGAATTTTTCATTCAATTGCGAATTTTTTTTATTGCTTAATGATAACTACGCGACAGACTGCGCGCTACGCGTCATGGTATTCGAATTTCCCGCCTTGAGTATGAATGTGGTGGCGATCGCGTGATTGATGATGTGAATTTTTCGGTTTGATTGAAGTTGATTCTTCGATTTAATGTAATTCCTGATTTGATGATTCAATTATTTAAGATTTGATTTAATTTGATTAAGATAAAGTGCGACTTGATTCAACCCAACACAAACTTGATTCAAGTTGACTCGATCTCGATTACGCTAAAGTGCAACTTGACTTAGAACAACCTCAACTTGAACACCTCTTTCAGCTCCTCGTCTTTTATTCCTCTGAATATTCATTGCTTTGGCATCGAATGTGTGTTTTTTTTTCGCCTGTCGATTTATTCCACAGAAACTCCAATAAACTCACTGGTTGCTTCCTACCCATTCCCATCCTCTTTTCTGATGCCTCTCGCGCGTCGTCTCGCATCGCCGGCCGTCCAAAGTTCTCCATCGCGGGTGTCTATTGGAAAATTTATTCCAATATTTTCAATTAAAGTTGGACAAAGGGAGCCAGCCCGTTTGATAAGGCCGTGTGTCGTCAACGTGTTACCCCGCTCCACTTGCGCTGGATAAAAATATAACAGTAAGCCTCGGTTGTACATTGAAAGTACGGGGATGCATTGGTGGGATATAGACTTCGTGTACTTGTTTGGGGGGAGAGGGGGGCAATGGGAATTGTTGGTATATACATTAGCTGAAAGGAAGGAAGGGAAATAAAGAGACAGGCAAGAGGCAGTGGGAATAACTATGCACTGGACGATTGACGACTTCAAGTACCTGTCGTCCATTGTTCTTTATTTTTTACTTTTTTTCCTCGTCGTTTTTCTGAGTTTTTTTTTTTTTATTGCTTAAAGGCGCATTTTCTTGCGGAGTAATGATATAAAACATTTGCGGCTGCGTTTAATTTTATTGGAGTGAATTTGGGTTTTTTTTATGGGCATAATGTGGAGAGACATGCTTTCGGGAGAAATTCTAGGTCTGGTAGGAGAATTTTATTATTAAAATGTGGATTACAAAGTTTTTTATTGTGTATCATCAATTATTTTTTATGTGGGTTAGGGTGAAATTTTAGTGTTGATGGGGAATTTTTAAAATTTTTATTACAGATGTTTTAGTTTTTCATTTTGGAGAGGGGAGATTGAAAAAATTTGGATTGAGGGCTTATGGCGGGTTTATAAGGGCCATTTAGGGTTTGAAGAGGTCTTGCGTAGGACTTGGGTAGATTATAGACGTCATAGATAATAATTCAGACCGATTGCTCAACCGATTAATCGAAAATTTAGTCATCAGACAAACAAAAAAAGAATCCAAAAAAATCGAGTCCCCAGAACGGGTTTACGCAGGGTTTACGCATGTCATTGAGGGCCTAGATAGGTCTTATGAGGGTTTTCCGTAGGTTACATAGATCAACGAGAAAAAAACGTAACCCCCGCTGTGGGAAAGCTCTTTTCACCCCCAATTGTCGATTTTTTCCTCGGTGGAGGATTCGGTATCACTTGATAAATTGAAACTTTATCCTTCAACCGGTTGACACACACCGTTTTTTCCCTTCTTTTTTTAAATTGAATGACGCTTTTCAATAAAGCAGCCTGCCGTGTGCTGCATTGAACGATGAATACCCGGTGTACTGGGCTTTGGTAAAACAACACTCGGCGTGAAACGTGCGTAAACGCATTGGGTGCACATGCGGAGCGATAATTAGGTCCCTGACGGGCATGGCCACAAACGTCATGTGACTGTCATGAGTGTTGTCACCTGTGCGTTCTCTCACACATTATGGAAACACGCTAACTGGTGGGAAAGAGACAGAGAATTGTGGAGGGAAGGTGTTCAAGTGGATGGGTAAATAGCTGGGATGGGATAGCCAAGGATATTTGATACTCAGTTATACGAGAGTTTAACAAATGCCGGAATTATTTGTTTTTTAGGGCCGAATTAAATACCCCCGGAAAATATATCCCACAATTTGATATTTTTCAATTTATTAACAATGGACAACTGGGCAGTTGGGTAGCTGGGCATGATAAATTGTTAACTGCAAACATTTTACGATTTTTATACGAACGTAAATGGATAAATTATGTATTTGGCTGTTTGTCGGTTAATTAGTGTCAATGCTAATGAGGAAAATGGCTGATAATGATGCAGATGATCGAATGGGTTTGGAACTCTAATTGGCTGGACTTCAATTATTTTTTTATACGAAATTTATAACGTCGTTAAATAATGAAAATTATTAAATAATAATGAGTAATTGAATTTAAACGGTAAAACTCATTATTTTCCCGTTGAAGTGAAAATTATTTGAGTTATTGTTTATATATTGTATTAAATAAAAAAAATCTTTATCCTTCATTGATCTATACACAATAATTAATTCACAAAAACTGAAGTTCAGCCGATTATTCCCAAAAATAATTCAATTACACGAGCTAATTACTGATTTCCAACTCCAATGAAATTAGCATAACGAAAATGCGATAAATTCTCATAAACCAAATAAATAAAACTGCAAATCTGACTAGAGTTTCGACAACTGACTAATTTTCAACTTAAACAACAAAATTGGGTCTATCGGTATTTTTAATTGGAAAATTTCAAATAACTGGGAGTAATTCACCGAGAGTTTTGTTGATGTTTAATATTGAGAGTTATTAAGAGTTGAACAAAGGGGTGGATGGGTTGGTATATGTACCGAGAATATAAAAGAACCTGGAGTGAGATAAAAAAAGCCGAGG